GGTAAAACTTAAAGTACATATACGTTTCTTTTTTTCTTCCTTTTCTTCGGCAGAGCAGAGTGGCTTATGAGAATGCATAGGCATAAAATTTATAGTAAATCATATGCTTCCTTTTCTGAAGCTGAACCAGAATATGAGTTGTATCCCTTATATCATGCATCTAAATCCAAGTCTAGAGGTGCTTAGGACGAGGATAGCGATCTCTTTTATATCTTGACAGAAGTTTCTGCTTCCTCTTACTGATGTTTGATTACTAAACAAGCACAGTTTGGTGTTCCTGTGCTCAGGTGACGAAGCAAGGGTTTTAAGTTGGGAAGAAAGACTTCAAATTGCACTTGATATTTCACATGGAATTGAGTATCTTCATGAAGGGGTACCCACGTAGACATAGGCTCTTCTTTCCCTGATTAAATATTCTGTTTCTTTAACATCATCTTATAGCAATTCTTGAAACAGGCAGTTCCTCCTGTCATACATCGTGATCTCAAGTCTGCCAATATATTGTTGGACCACTCTATGAGAGCTAAGGTGAGAAAAGACACTGCAAACTATTTTTTTGACCTGTTTATTTGTTTATTCCGGATTAACTGAATTTTCTCCAGAGTGTAGATTAAGTACACAGCCCAAGACATCTTGCTGCTCTTTTTCATTTAGGTTCATAGAGCTTTAAACTAAATGTAATAGTCATTAAAAAAATTGGTCTCACTATAAGTCATGTGACATTCATGGTCATTTGAGCTCCAGTTAAACATCCTGAAGCTTGTTTTTTTATTGCTCAAAATCAGATTAAAGCAGATTTGCCTAACAAATAAACCAATACAAGCATGCTCTAAGTCACTGGATATTTTATTGTGATGCCAATTTGCTGAACAATATAAATTTGAATTTTCTTTTTATATGTTGTTCGCAAGATATCACCTTAACAATAATGTGTGATGACTGATTCTTAATAGGTTGCTGATTTTGGACTGTCAAAGGAAGAGGTGTTTGATGGCCGAAACTCTGGCCTAAAAGGTACATATGGCTACATTGATCCGGCATACATGTCCACAAATAAGTTCACAATGAAGAGCGACATCTACAGTTTTGGTGTCATCATATTTGAACTCATTACTGCGATTCATCCCCATCAGAACTTGATGGAATATGTTAACCTCGTAAGTCTATGTTCATGGCAATATAGTCATCTTTTTAGTACATCATGGAGTGGAACTCTCTAACCCGAAACGCTTCGTTATGTCATTTTTTTCTCTCTCATTCTTAGGCTGGAATGAGTCCTGATGGTGTTGATGAGATACTTGATAAGAAACTTGTTGGAGAATGCAATATTATGGAAGTGAGGAAGCTAGCTAAAATTGGTTGCATATGCTTACACAAGTTACCGAGAAAGAGACCTACAATTGGAGAAGTTACACAGGCAATATTAAGAATCAAACGGAGGCACCTTGCAAAAGAAGACACAATGTCCTTCAATGGAAGGGAATTTTCAAGAGTAGCAAGTCTTATAGAAGACCAACAGGTAGAATTGAGTAAGTTGACTGTTATCAAAGAGGAAAGCTTGAACTAGTGAGACTTTTCTTTTCTTCTTCTTTATGTTAATATTGAATACCAGTTATATCAAATAGTTTGACAAATATACGAGAGAAAAAGACTAGACAAAGAGGTCACTTATCCGGATGCAATCAAACCTCAGCAAATTATGAACTTTCCATTGACAAATTGCTCACACATGAAGTTAATAACTTTATATATAAAATTTATCCCGTTTCCAACAACTGATGACTGACAAGATACCGGTTGAAGGTGAAATCTGACATGCTAAAAATATCATTTCTTAGATATTTTCTGTTTGGATACCAAGAAAGCAACACCCATAACACTCCCGTTAATTTCTTACAGAAAAACTTAATTGAAACAAACTACATATATATATACACATATATATATATATATAAACTCAGAAAATAGTACTCATTAAGAAGATAGAAGACTACATTTATGGTTCTATAAATCCTCGTAGAAGATAGAAAATAACGATATGATTAGATGTGGGTGATTGGGTAAGTGGCCCTCTTTGTCTAGAGAGTCTTTTTCTCTTGCGTATTTGTCAAACTGTATGATATAACCAGCATTCCGTATTAACATAAACAAGAAGAAAAGAAAAGTCCAACTAATTCAAGCTTTCTTCTCTGATGCCGGTCAACTTACCCAATTCTACCTGTTGATCTTCCTATGTGATTTGCCACTTTTGTGCTCATTCAGTCCTTTACACTTGGAACAACATCACAAAATTTAATTTTACTGAATGTAACAATAACAACAAAATAAAGATCAAATTATAGTTTTTAAATTAAATATGGTATGAAGTAACCTCAAAAATTTAATATAGGAAAAAAGTAATCTAAACAATGTTTCAAGTATGAAAAGTTATCTAATATAACTGACCTACACTCATACACCTTGAAGATTTACCGTGCCATGAGTCATCTAATTGCTGAAGCCACATAAGTACCCAAAAAACAAGTAAATTACCCAAGGCTAAAAAACAATATGAAAAGAAAACCCAAATACCATCAGACATACATACCTTCCTGATATTGACTAGGATATAACTGGCACCTGAATTGATAAGGACACGCACTAGCAAAATATCAAGCAAAGTGAGAAACCTTAAAAGTGTATACGCCTTCCCGGCCAGAAGTTATAATTAAAGACAGAATAAGAGTTGTCACTCGCCCAAAAGTCTCACTTTTCCCACTATGTTGAAATTCCTTTTTTCTTCTTTTTGACAGTTCTCTATATCGAAACTCTGAACCTCCAAATCGTGTAGGAAGTTTTTACTGAGATTATAAGATTTAGCACACTTCCTTTTTCTTCATTTACTTCCATTTACCCATGCAAAATGCTGTGGTCAGGCTCAGCACATATATATAGTTTAAATTCATTGAACAGTACCAGTCCTATATTCATGTCAGTTCGTGCAACCCATTCTGCTACTGTGCTTATTATGCATGTATGTCTTTTGTGCATGCATGTGATTTTATTTTTACATATTTATAATTCAAGTGTGTATAGACATGCATATTTTGTGTGAAAGAAAGAGAAGTGGAGAGAAGAGAGGTTTCCACCGGCGCGATTTCAATAAGACTTCTATTATCACCAGCTAGGATGTGTTCTCCTGCTGTCACGCAAAAGTAAAAATAGCATTACAATTAGATAGCATAATAAAGAGAAGAGAACAAATGAAGCAGAAGAACTACAATTGAAAAATGATAATCAGAAGAGTGGGAGATTAGAAATAACCTATTATATCTCCATGCAGAAATTTGGAGGATCAAATGGGAGAAAATAAGCTGCCAGAGCAGCTTTTTACAACTAAATGTTGATTTCTATACTGAAAGCTTCAAGAGTAGTGCCACAAACAAGCCAGCAGGAAGAAGACATATATAATATATATTAAAAATGAGACCATAAACCTTAGTAGGTATTACAAACAAGCAAGCAGAAAACTGTACAATGTTACAATCTTGCCACAAACTTTAATATAATATAGCATTCTTGGTAAAATTACAGATGAGAGTTTATAAGGATCTATTCAGAAATTAAAAAAGAAAAACATCATGTATAATACTTCATTCCCCTTCTTATTATATTAAGCATACTCGAACATTAAACATGGGATAATCAAAACAAAAAATTAAAAAAAAAAAGAAAACGGAGATGAAGAAACAGTACCATTCTTCCAACTCCAACAGTTGATGACCTGAGTTTTCATCATTTGAAAATACTAATAACTACAATGTCTAAGAGTAGTTACCATCAACAAAGTCCCATCTTCTAGGACATACCAGATATTAAAGTCAACTATATTTTCTGGTTTTCACAAACCCAGAACTTACTGAGTCTTTTCCAGTATCTGTCTAATATTACTAACTTTTCAGAAGTCACATGAAGTTCCAAGTCTCTGCCTCTGTCTCTGAGCCACACCCCCAGATTTACGCTTGGCAAAGGATGGGGATAGCAATTTCTTAAAAACATCTAAGTATTGCACCCATTCCTCTTCATCCATATCTCCTAGCTTTACAAAACTACTACTTCCAGGCTGCTGCTCGTTCACAGTCCTGTTCCCGGATGATGTACCTGCCAAGTAGCCACTTTTAAGAATTGCACCCTCATGGCGCCAACTCCTTTCACCAATGCTGATGTTTTTCATTGTCATGGACAGCTTTGAAACAGTTGGAGTCCGAGACCTTCCCAAGCCTGCATAATCATCAACCCTTGAACATATCACATCACCCTCATCTTCTGCCTCCTGCTCTGGATTTTCATCCAGCTTAAAAAGTGTATTTTGAGTGGTTCTACCTTTACAATAAGCAACCTCTTCCATGCAAAATTCCTCTTCCTCATAGTCAATGTTAAACTGACACTTCTCATTGTCTTCTACTTCCACGGTAAAAGGAATTTCCCTTAGCAGCCTCTTTGCCTGAAGGCATATGAGCTCAAGTTCACTGGGCTCTTCCTCATCACCTTGAAACTCCCTGCTCATCATTTCACCGATCTCAGCAAGACAGAGACCAAAAGCAGCTGCTTCCTTGAGGAAGATTGTGCAAAGAACCAAGACCCTGAGGCACGCGTCTCGAATCATAGGTAGTTCCATCCTAAGCATTTCAGAGTCTCTAAATGGATCAAGACTCTTTATATACTCGAGTTCATCCTCTGAAAAAGGTATAGATGCTTGCGGCCAGTGGATCCACTCAAAATATGGGTCCTCTAAATTTTCTGGAAGGCAAAGACCATGATCAATTGGAATAAGCTCCACCTGACCAAAGCCCCCAGTGCCATCAGTTTTCCTGACAAGAAGGTTTCCTGCATGTCTGTCTGTGTTCAGAATCCGTATGTCTAAAATCCCTATCCTATGTACAGCAGCAACTGGAAAGCTTGAAGTCCCATGGTCGCTGGCATCAAAATCATGAGGGATAAACTGTTGCAATGAAGCAATCTTACTAATCTCCTTTCTTTCTTGATGCTTACCTGCATTCACCCCAACATTAATGTTGAAAATAGAGTGCGTGACCTTTACAAGGGCTGTAGGGGGCACATTTGCAAAATGACCATGGTCAAGGAGAAAAGCTGCCACTTCCCTAAAGCCCGTCTCCCCAACCCGTACGGAACGTTTCAGGCCAGGTTGTCCAAGAGCTTTGCCAACAAAGCCTTTTGGATTGTTTGGAGCATAAGGTTCCTCATCTGTTGGTTTTACAATCGCACAGTTCTCCCCATCACAATTTCGAAAGTAGTATGCCCCTCCAAGCCCACTGCGGACGGGAATTGGATCAACACCAATCTCCATTGCCTGCCCAATATCCTTCACTACCTGTTCTGCAGAGGACAACTGATTTGAGCATCCTAATATCTCAATTGGATTACTGAAATCTTTCTGTTGAAGATCCTTAACAGTTGGTGAGAGACATGGTGTCGATGAGCTTCTGTGCATCAAATTCCGGGTGAGAAGAAGAGGAGAACAATTTCTGACAGCAGTGAGATCATTCTTAAGCACCATATCCCCATAAACCAATGACCTTTCCTCTATTGGAACATTTAGGGCCAGCTGCAATTTCCTCTTCACCGTGTGAGCATTGTCACTCCCGTCTAATTCTACACCCAAAACACAACCAGTTTCAGTCTGCACAAATACACGCCTCCTTGAAGAAGGTTTTCTTTCCATACTCTTATTCCCACTGTACTCGCCAGTAACAGGTCTTTTAAAGGCTGCAACAGCCATCTTGCTGTATACA